AAATCATGCTCTAGGATATAATCAGGGCATGTAAATTTCCATTGGTGCATCTTCTCCTGACCCTTGATAGTATCAGATATTTAAATATTTGCCAATCTGATGAGTATGAGATGCATCTGTTTATATCTATTACTTTAAATACTATTCTACGTAATTAATGTACAATAACTACTTAACCATTCTAATAATTGAGGATTTGGGTTAGCTATAATTTTTCACTATCATACAGAATGACACTAAAATGCTCTTTTCAGTGTATCATTCTGGTTAAACACAATCTTTGAGGCCAGGCTGATTAGGATCATATAAGGGCTGTGTTATTGTTTGTCCTTGGATACAGTTGCCAGATGAAATACAGGGTGGCCTGAAATTTGAATTTCAGATTAAGAATAATTTTGTGATGTAAGTATATCCTATGCAATATGTGAGAGGCTTGTCTTCATCTGTGCTGCTGTAATAAAATACCTGAGACTAGGTAGTTTAAAAACAAATTTGTTTTCTCACTCTCCCGGAGGCTGGGAAGTACATGATCATGATCCAGCAGTCATATCTGGTAGGCTGCTGGTGAGGGCTTTGTGCTACATCATAATGTGGCAGAGAACCGAAGGGGAAGCGGGCACTGGCTAAAGGGGCAATGTTACAGTGTTACTTATTAACAACCTGCTCTCAAGGTACCTAATCTAGTCCCAAGAGACTGGGAACTCTCAGTGACTACATTAATCTTTTCATGGGGGCTGATCCCTCATGACTCCAAAGCCTGTTAAAGGTCCTCCTGTGTCTCAACACTGTTACCTCGGGGTCCAAGCCTCAATATGAATTTTGGTGGGGATAAAAGGTATTCAAACTGTAGCACTGTTGCATCGTCAGTTGTCTCAACATGAATCACGGAGGACACATTCAAAATATAGCCATATGTACAGTAAAATGTTATCGTCTATGTGAAATTAAAGTTTTAACCAGGCATCCTGTGTTTTTATTAGCCAAACAGGGCAACCTTAACCTGGGCAAATTCTAACCATCATTTTCTTATCTATGAAATTAGGATAGCAGAACTCATAAAGTTGTTGCATGAATGAAACGAGATGATCCATGCAGACGACTTACAGCAGAGTATGAAACATAGTAAAATCTCAGCAAATGTCAGCTCTTCTTAGTTATTATTTCATACAGGTGTGTCTTAGGATTAAATTCCTAGAAGGATGTCTCAGTTACAGAACTCCTGGGCTTAATTTAAGACTTGTTTGATGGCCGGGCACGGTGGCTCACGCCTGTAATCCCAGCACTTTGGGAGGCCGAGACAGGCGGATCACGAGGTCAGGAGATTGCAGACCATCCTGGCTAACACGGTGAAACCCCGTTTCTACTAAAAATACAAAAAATTAGCCGGGAGTGGTGGTGGGCGCCTGTAGTCCCAGCTACTCGGGAGGCTGAGGCAGGAGAATGACGTGAACCAGGAAGGCGGAGCCTGCAGTGAGCCGCGATTGGGCGACTGTACTCCACCCTGGGCAACTGAGCAAGACTCCGTCTCCAAAAAAAAAAAAAAAACTTGTTTGAGCATTCCATCATACCAAAAACTGTTTTGTAAAAAACCTTAAGTAGGTTACCAGATACTTTTCAACTAGCTTCAGAATACAAATCAGATTTTTAAATTTCCATACAAAAACAAAAAAATGCCACCTATAGGCTAGTATCAATTTCCCTTTAATCACACCAAATATTTGGATATGGATTCTGATTTTTCTTTTAGGGTCAACTGAAGCAATATTTAAGAAGGTACTGTCCAAGGGACATGCTAAACAATTTCTAGAACTTATGTGTGTTATCTACTAAGACTTAATATTAGGCTCATGACTTTTAACAAAAGAGAACACTCTTTTGCTTTTGGGAAAGTTGATGTTTACAGCATCTATTCTTTATGCTTACCAGAAAAAATATATATATACTTTTTAATGTTGCATATATATCATTTATATATTACATATAATTATATATATTACACATATATATTCTCAGACTTCAACACTAGAAAAAAGTTGTTGCTTTAAGAAGATACTCCAGGCCCGGCGCGGTGGCTCACGCCTGTAATCCCAGCACTTTGGGTGGCCGAGACGGGCAGATCACGAGGTCAGGAGATCGAGACCATCCTGGCTAACACGGTGAAACCCTGTTTCTACTAAAAATAAACAAACTGCTCTCAAGGTACCTAATCTAGTCCCAAGAGACTGGG